CACACACACACACACACGTTCTGTTTACTGCCCCACTTTTCTCTGACACTTTCAGACTTCTTTTGTTCGGCTGATAATGCCCTTTGTGGTTTGGCGCTTCGTCAAGCTGAGTTTCAGGATTTCACTAAACGACTCACGTTGCCCACAGTTTGGTGTTGGCAATGAGCAAAAACAAAGCTGTTTTCAAGGGTGCACTTTTGCTTTGATTGTACTCCCACTTAAAGCATGCAAATAAGATGCAAGACTTGTCCCGCATATAACCCAAACCAATAAGCACAAATAAGTAAGACAGGTGAGATCTTATTCTGCAATGGAGCAATGACTTTTCACCAGGTTGGCTTCTCATGCAGGAAGTGGTATTTACGTCAAAAGGTTATACTCAGAACTCAGGTGTGTTTTTTTTACTAGATTTTCCAATAAGATACCACAAAACATCTGTAGATTTGTTGAATATTGAAATCTCTCTTCAAATATTTGTTGGAGTTTTAGCATCCGAACCAACAATGCAAAAAAAATGAACAAATTGTTTTTAAAAAAGGACATTTCTAAACTGCTTTAAAACTCTTAGAGGTGTAGTAGGAGGGAAAAAAGGATGTTGCACAAGCTGCTAAAGATAAAAACAACACCACAGCTCATCCTCTGCACATCACGCTAATAAACCAACAAAGAGTTTTCGGTCTTTGTGCTCAGATAGGCAACACAAAAAGTCACTAAATTGCATCACAACAACCTTCTGGGCCAAGATAAAAGAATCATTATTGCACACCTCTGAGAAGCAAAGGTGGAGAACAATATAAAAATATCTCCTGAACCAAGATTCAACTCTGACATAAAAGGTGGACTCGTTTTATGAAACGAGCTTCATCTGGCTCTTCAACACTTTAATACACACAAACTCAAGGCCTGTGGGCCAAATCTGGCCCTTGTTACCAATTTTACCTGGCCCCAGAGGCAATACTTTAAATGTGAAATAGCTTTAAGGTTTCTCTGTTTCTGTATTTAGTACGTTCTGCTCATTTCAGATGGCTGACTGTCAAGCCAAGAAAATTAAGTTTGACTTTGTCAGTAATTTTTAATTTAGAGCAACAGAGAATCACGTTTAAATGTCTTGAATTGTGAATTATCTTCTTATTTTTCAAATAATTGGATTTTTACTGAGGGTTTTCTTTTTGTACCTGATTGTGATAAGATGCATTTTCTAAGAAATAACAAATGAAAAAAGTAGTTGGTATAGAGGCATTAAAAGTGAATGATGTGTCTTTCTAAATTTAATCTTTTTTCTCTTTTGGTTAGGTAATGTATGTTATAATTGTTACATAAAACACAATTTGGAAAAGGTATTTTTGTACTTCAATAATAAAATTTTGTTATAAAACACATTTTCAATAAATATCAACAGAAATTGGTTCTTGTCTTGGAGCAAGTTTGGGGGAAGATAGTTCCCCCTGTGTAACTGAGTTTGACACCCCTGATTTAATCCATGATGAATGTGGAAACTGAATGATTTTAGGTAATACGGCTACAGCAGTCCCTTTTAACAACCATAACTAACTATAACATTAAAAAACATATCCATCCATCCAACCATTTTCTTCCGCCTATCCGGGGTCGGGTCGCGGGGGCAGCAGCTTCAGAAGGGAGGCCCAGACCTCCCTCTCCCCAGCCACTTCTTCCAGCTCCTCCGGGGGAACTCCAAGGCGTTCCCAGGCCAGCCGAGAGACATAGTCCCTCCAGCGTGTCCTGGGTCTTCCTCGGGGCCTCCTCCCGGTGGGACGTGCCCGGAATACCTCACCAGGGAGGCGTCCAGGAGGCATCCTTACCAGATGCCTGAGCCACCTCAACTGGCTCCTCTCGACGTGGAGGAGCAGCGGCTCTACTCTGAGTCCCTCCCTGATGACCGAGCTTCTCACCCTATCTCTAAGGGAGAGCCCAGCCACCCTGCGGAGGAAACCCATTTCGGCCGCTTGTATCCGGGACCTCGTTCTTTCGCTCATGACCCAAAGCTCATGACCATAGATGAGGGTAGGAACGTAGATCGACCGGTAAATCGAGAGCTTCGCTTTCTGACTCAGCTCTCTCTTCACCACGACGGACCGGTACAGCGCCCGCTTTACAGCAGACGCTGCGCCAATCCACCTGTCGATCTCCCGCTCCCTTCTTCCCCCATTCGTGAACAAGATCCCCAGATACTTAAACTCCTCCACTTGAGGCAGGACGACCCCCCTGACCCAGAGAAGGCACTCTACCCTTTTCCGGCTCAAGACCATGGCCTCGGATTTGGAGGCACTGAGCCTCATCCCGGCCGCGAACCGCTCCAGCGAGAGCTGAAGATCACGTTCCGATGAAGCCAACAGGACCACATCATCCACAAAAAGCAGAGATGCGATCCTAAGGCCACCAGAACGGATCCCCTCAACACCTCGGCTGCGCCTAGAAATTCTGTCCATGAAAGTAATGAACAGAATCGGTGACAAAGGGCAGCCTTGGCGGAGTCCAACTCTCACCGGAAACGAGCCCGACTTACTGCCGGCAATGCGAACCAGACTCTGACACCGGTCGTACAAGGACCTGACAGCCCGTATCAAATGGCCCGGTACCCCATACTCCCGGAGAACCTCCCATAAGGCCCCCCTTGGGTCACGGTCGAACGCCTTCTCCAAATCCACAAAACACATGTAGACCGGTTGGGCGAACTCCCATGCACCCTTGCACCCATGCGTTAAAAAACATATTTAATGCATATTTAAATTTCAAACTCAAAAACAAATAAATATAACCAGAACACAGTTTTTACATTATCACAAAGCTTTTTGTGAATGTGTTTAACTGTTTCTTTTTTTACTTACAATGTTTTCTTTATTTCTAACCTCTTTTATTTATATGTGAGATTATTTTTGTTTTATTTTAGACTGCTTCGTGTGTTTTATTTTATATAAACTTATGATAAAAAGCACCTTGAACTGTTTTAAATTTTCTTCAGCAGTGGCAAACAGAATCACCCGAAAATAGCCAGATTAGGGGGATTACCATGCAGTTTAACATTAGAGTTCATTAGAATCAGAGGAGGCCTCAAACGGAAGTGACGTAACACTCGTTGTCCCAACTTCCTAGAGACGGTTGCTACAGCGGTTACCATACACACCCGTAAAGCAGTCCGCTTTCCGGACAGAAAATTGACGACCCAGGCTAACTTTGAACGTTTAAAACGAGCTAAAACTGTTTCAGAGGTGACAGCTTCGGAACAAATGGCTTTCGCCTCGCACAGCCACCGAGACCCGAGCGGAAACTACGTTTTCTCAAGCCGACCCAGAGTCGTCGAGAGCCGCTCCGGCAGGGAACCTCCGTCCGAACGGTCCGTGTTGGTCCAGCCATGGTTAAATAATAATAATAATAATAATAATAATAATAATAATAATAATAATAATAATAAAAGGGTTAACGAATATGCAAACTTGGTTATATTAAAACAGAAATAAAATGAAGTTTAGTAAAATGTCTCGACTATGATAATTAAAAATACTTTTGTTATAATTATCATATTATGTAATAAGGCATATTGAACAAATTAAACTACTGTGGCTGACTCGAGTACGTTTTCTTCATTGTTAAAGACACAAAATAATAAAAAAAGCCATTTCAAAAGTGTGTTGTGTTTAAAAACTGACAAAAAATGAATGCGTTTTTCTTTTGAATAGGGTAAGGTGAAAATAATAATAATAATTACGATTATTTGTAGTATATTTAGACAATAACGATTGATATGACAATTAATTCCCTATATCAGTGGTTCCCAAACTTTTTATCTTCTGACCCACAAAATATCCATGGCAAAAACTTGTGACCCCAAATATTACTGGTCTGAGTACATGAACTTTGTTAATAACCCTAAAAACATAGGCTTTTTGACAACCTAAACAGCTTGTACACAAATACAAATACTTATTTATACTTTTTTGTGCGCTTTTGGAATAGTTATAGGG